AATGATAATAATAAGGTAATGAGCAAAATAAAAAAGAACAGCAATGCGTTTCAAACCGACGATTGTACTGCTAATTCATCGCAATAACTGGGGCCAAAGGGGACTTCGGAATTCTTCTGCCTTCTATCAAGAAGCAACCGGAAATGTAGAATCACTGAGACGTTTGAATAGGTACAATAAACACACTGGGAGATCCAATATTAGCTCTAGACCATCTATCTATTTACATTTCACCAATCAGACATCATAATATCAATAACGTTTACGTTGAATTACAAAACATCTTTGATTACTCGCCTTCGAATACGATTTGACTTGGGGCGGGGCCATCTACTTACAATGTAACACAGACACACTTAAACAACAAAAAACAAACACACTAACAATTAATAAGGAAGGTGGTGTCCACCCAGTCATTGTTGACGCCAATGTCGGACAGCATGTCTGACACGTCAGGGGTGCAGCTGAAGTCTAGGTGGGAACCTGAGCTGGAGCTGGCAGTGTCGAAAGTCTCAAAGTCGGTACTGATGTTGTCCAGGTCAATGTCAATCCTGAACGGGGGGAGGAGGTCGGTGAGGTTCTCGAGCTCCGACAAGGACGGGGTCTGCTGCGCACCGAACAGCGTGGGGTTCTCTCCCGGCCTGAGTCCTGCGGCAGCGGCCGCGGCCGCGGCGACGGCGGCGGACTCCGATTCGCAGTCAAACTCCTCCTTGATGGCGTACTTGTCATCCTCCTCATCCTCGTCCTCCTCATAATCCCTGTGCACGTCGTCAATGCCCTCGTCAACGTCGTCGTCCACCTCGTGCTTGATGTCAAGGACCTCAGTCTTGATGGGGCACAGGGACGGCAGGCGCAGCCCCTGAAGCGAGCCGAGCCCCAGGGCCTGGCGCCTCTCCGCGGTCAGCGCGCGCACCCTCTCGTTGTCTTGCAGCGCGTTCAGCGGCGTGAAGCAGTCGGTCGAGCCGACGGCGCTGCTGGAGAAGGTGATGTCGAGCATCATGGAGGTGGAGGAGTCCTCGTAGAAGGTGGCCGACTCTGGCGAGTCAGGGACGTCACTCGAGGGGCTGGCCGGCACTTTGGCGAGCGGGGTGCTCGACATCAGCCTGGGCTTCTTGGACTTGGAGCCGCTGGCGCTGCGCGCGCGCGAGGCCGGCCTGTGGCTCTGTGGCGTGGCGGGGCTGTCGGGCGACGGCAGGCTCCTCTTGAACGACGGCGTCTCGGACTGCTTGCTGCTGTTGTTGTTGGAGTCCGGCTTCTTTGGCTTCTTGACCCTCGGCGTCGACACCTTGGGCTGCACCTTGACGATCTTCTTCCGGGGCCGGTACTTGTAGTCCGGGTACTCCTGGAGGTGCAACTGGCGCAGCCGCTCCGCCTCGTCGATGAAGGGCTTCCTCTCGTCGTCCGCCAGCGTCTTCCAGCGGCGGCCCAGGCGCTTCGAGATCTCGGCGTTGTGCATGTCCGGCTGCTGCTCGCAAATCTTCCGCCGCTCGATCTGCGACCACACCATGAACGCGTTCATGGGCCGCTTGATGTGGTTCGGGTTGTTCTTCTTAGTCTGCAACAAAAGAAACAAAAAAAAAGTGTTAGCTTTGTCGGTCGTGCGAAGAATCGAAAAGGCAGGGGGGGGGGGGAGTTTAGGAGTAAGATTGGGATTTTTTTAAATTTGTTCTTTAGGGGGGTACTGGATGGCGGGCGGAGCTGAAAGAACGCTACCGGCCACTGGGCAGGTCCAGCAGGCACACATCCATCAGGCCAGGACGCCACAAAAGGCTGGACGCCGAACCTCATTTTTCACCGCTGATTAAACACCAGTCCACACACACACACACTCACACAGGCGCGATTCTGATAGGGCGACGGTACATCAGGGCGCTGTTTACAATAGAGACCTGCGGTACAACCAACGGAAGAGACGGGAGGAGGGAGAGAGAAGAGAGAGAGGGGGGAAAGGGGAGGATTTGCATACAGCTCCTCTCCCGAGTACAGGCCACAGGCGGGACGCAAGGGCGGCCCTTTGCAGGGTTGGTTGGCAACTTTCAGGGTTAACGCATGCAGTGTTACAGTAATTGATTAAGTCGGACCGTGAAAGGGGTGGGGGCGCGCCCCGGCTGCACGCAGATACCATTCAGGCTGTCGCGCAACCCCCTCCCAATCTCCTCCCTCTCTCTCTCTCTCTCTCGTAGTGGCGGTGGTTGACCCGTCAGACACCCACGGAGGAGAGAGCGGCGTGGTGCTGTGTAGCACTTGGTCTGATTGAAAGTGTAAAAAGGAAAAAAAATAGCAGAAAAAACGAAAGGGAAAAACTTTGTTTGCTTGAGACCCACACATTTCCCTCGAGGAAAAGCGGTCGGAAAATGAAGCAACGAGAGTATAAGGACGAGGGCGCACTAAAAAACATAGCGCTTATCACAGGGGAGGGGTGATCCTTCCAAGGTGGGTCCAGCAGCCGCTCAGGGAGGAAAGCAAAGAGAGAGAGAGAGAGAGAGAGAGAGAGAGAGAGAGAGAGAGAGAGAGAGAGA